GGCTCGGTCCCCAGGCCTCTTCCCCTAGGTGCTGAGGGTCTCTGCATAGTTTTCCACTGGTCTAGGTCTGGGGTGAACTAGCTGCCGCTTCTAGGCAATCCCAGGGTCTCCAGCTCCCAACATCTGCAAACTCAACTATAACCTGGGTCTCCCATTAGGGTTTTCTGGCTCCTGTGCCCAAACACACTTGGTGCTCTCTGATAATGCCAGTTCTGCCTGTTCTGGTGGCTTCCCCTCGCTCTCAGACAAAGGGATAGTAGTAGTAGCTTTCTCTATCATTGCCCTCCAAACGCCCATATAGAATCAGAAATCATTCATCTGGAGGGGCCTCAGAGAACATCCATCCCAAGCTATTTCATAGATGAGGAAACTGAGGCCCAGAGTGGGTGGCTGACCAGCCCAGGCTCACCTAGCAGCGAATGGCAGCTCTGGGGTTGGAATCAGATCTTGACTTCCTGTCAGCAGTTCTGTTCACTGCACCAGAGCAAATGGCCATGTCCCTTTTTTGTTTCCTTCTTTCTCTTCCTTTCCTTTCCTTTCCTATGGCATCATTTCATTCTTTTCTCTTAAGATGTTCGTTCTGTGTTGAACAGGATGACACGCCTGGTAGTCCCATGGTTGTATTCAGAGCCGAGCACACTGTCCTGGCATGAGTGTCTGTCTGCAGCCTTTCCCCCTTCCTGTCTCCTGTCCCCTAAGGTATCCAGGGACACTGTTCTCTATCTCTCCTTCTTTGAACCGTCCTCTTCAGTTCCCGTTTCTCTTTCCAGACACCCAGGAGGAGGCAGACAGAAACCCTTAGGAAATCGTTCCTATCTCTCACCTTAGTTTCCTGGTCTCTGAAATGGGGCAAGAGTCTTAGGAAATATGGGGCATTTGTGGTGTGTGTGTGTGTGTGTGTGTGTGTGTGTACACAAGTGTCTCAAATATCTCCCAGCAGCTCCTGGGGGTAGAGAGGGCAGTTAATTAGCATCTGATGGAAGGTATCCTGGGGACCATTGCAGGAGCTCTCAGGGTGACCAAGAGGGTGGGCCAAGAAGTCCCCTGAGGTTCTGGGGGTGAGCAGCCCCCAGATCCACTCCTGCAAAGTCGATGAGACACCTGGAGAGGCTGGGGGAGGGAGCATTCTGAGTGAAGGGTCTTTGTCTTTACAGGGAAATGTGCTCTAGTTGCTAAGGAACTGGGTGTCTTTCCTGATCCAAGCTTCTCGGTGTTCTGCTTAGCTTGGGAGGGGGATGCTGGGCTGGGCTTGGGGCTCCCTTGGCAGTTGGTCCTTTCCCTGGGGCTGCTGAGGCTCTGATAGGTCTTGTGGGAAGGACTCTCATCTGGGAGAGATGGTTCTTTACCCTAAGCCTCACTGCTTGCTTGCTCCAGTTGCGCTGGGGTGAACAGGTGAGGAGGAAGCAGGGAAGGAGGGTAATTCATGCATTTACTGAACAGCCTGCATGCCAGGCATTGTGCTTGGTGACTGCTGTTGCTATCTCATTTAACCATTGTAACTTGTCTTGGGTGAAAGACACTGATTTCCATTTCTTTTTCATTATATTGCTTTTTGCACTTGAAACATAGGTCTGAAATAGTTAAGTAAGTTGCCCAAGGTCACACCAGGCTGTCAAGTAGTAGAAATTTTATATGAATTTAAGTCAGTTTGATAAGCGATCTTATGCTTTTAAAAGTATACCACCTACTATACACATGAGGCTCTCTTCCTACCCCACGGCTGCTCAGCTCTAACCCGTGGACCCATCACAATCACGGTCACCACCACCCTCACCACCCTCACCATCGACACTGCCACCAGAATCCTCAGCTCATCACCATCATCATCATCACCTGGTGATCCACAGTCTCTCTAGGTGGCTTCCCCTCCTTTCCCACCTCTTCCTTCCCCAAGAAAGAACAGTTATCACACAGGTGTGATGGAGAGAGCGGGGGGGGGGTGAGTCCGATTAACAGGTACTGGCCATGGGGGCGAGGAGGGGGTGGCCGTGGGCCGGGCCAGGCTCCTGCCTCAAACATTCAGCAGCCCTCCCCTCTCGCAGTCATACCTGGTCCAGAATGGCTAAAGCTTTAAACTTCTGGAACTTCCAGCCTTTTCTCTTTGGCCCATTCAGCTCTTCCATGGATGAACCTCTATTTTATATCACCAGAGAGTATGAATAAAGTGCTACTTACTTCTAAATACTGTGCTAAGAGGGCTTAACACCAGATTCCACTGCTGCTCTTTATGGAACAGGGAGTAGGCCCTATACCAGCGCCTACACTGTTAGGTTGTTGGGAGAGTTGAATGTGTTGAAGGCCTGGGCAGGCTGTGAAGTGGGGTGGGAATGCATTCAATGAGACTCTGCATGCGAAGTGTTCAGCGCAGTGCCTGGTAGGCGGAAGGTGCTTGGGCAATGGTATCTGACAGTGAGGATGATGTCAGTCTTCTTGATCCCTGCAAAGAGGTAACCACTGCTCCCTCTCATCTTTCTTGGCTGCTTCCTTAGAGACCTCAAGCAATTTGCATGTCCATTTTGTTTCCACCTGGCAGAAGTAGTGAAAAGAAAAGAGAGGCTCAGAGAGCCCCACAGGCAAAAGCGCTTCTTCCAGGGTGGGTCTCCCAGCCCCCCTGTGGCCTCCAGGTTTCCCGTCTGCCTCTTCTCTGCAGTTTCCAGGGACTGCCTGGTAGGCTGGCTTCGCCCTAGACATCTGGGCCAGCTGTGTTCTTTTTCGGGTTTTGTGGCCAGGAGGGTAGGGGGTCTCTCCTGCCGCTGAACCCAAATCTCAGAACACCAGGGCAAAGTAAGGAGGGGGAGAAAGAAAGGAAAGCAAGCAAGCCGATAATTTCCTCGAAGGATAAACATCCGACTTTTTTTCCCTAACCCAAAATAAACAGGCTAGCCACAAGGAATTAAAAGCAGAAGAGGGGAAGATATGTCTCAATCTGGGGCTGCTTTAGCAAGCTGACCTTCTATTTATCCTGGCCCTGGGCACCAACTAGAGCTGCCAATTATACTCTGTGCCTGGTGGGGCTGGGGGCTGCAGGGCGGAGGTCCCAAGGCATATGGGACCCGCACAGTTCCTTCCGAGGCTGCCTTCCCTGACCCTGCAAAAGGGGCACTTTTTTTTTTTTTTTCAGAGACAGCGTCTCACTATGTAGTTGAGACTGACCTGGAACTCACTATGCAGCCCAGGCTGGTCTCGAACTCACAGCGATCCTCCTGCTTCAGCCTCCCGAGAGTTGGGATTACAGGCGTGCGCCACCACACCCGGCTTAGGGGTTGGGCCTGGTTAGTACTTGGAAGGGCACTTCTTTTTGCTCCTTATTTTACCTCTGTTTTCAGGTTTGCCCAGTGGGGTAGAAGGGTGTGGGGAGAGGTTTTTTTTTCCTCCCTGGGCTGGTATTAAATGCATAGGACTCTGTTATCTGCTGCCCACCACCTGGGCATCGAGGAGAATCTATCAACAGAAGAGTGGCACCATCCAATTCCCTTTCTAGTTACCACCTCCATCTCTCACCCTCCTTCCTTCTTCAGATCCCACCTCAGGAACTGTCCAAGTTATTGAAAATGTGCTCAGCTGGGCCTCCGGTCAGCCAGGGCCTCCTGCCTCGCAGCTAACATGGCGCTCACCTTGAAGAAGGGAACAACCCCACTCCCAGCTCAGCCTGCCCCTTTCATCTGGTGAACTCAAAGCACTTTGCAGGGTGAGTCACCAATGTTGCTGTGCCCTGGCCAAGGAGCGGGGCTTATTAACTGTTGGAGGGAAACTGAGCTGAGAAACTGTTGGGGGACACAGTTTAGACTGTGCAGGGGGCTAGCGGAGGGGTCCCCAGGGGGTCCTTGGGCAGGAGAGTCAAGAGGCCTACAGCTCGGACCAAGGACAGGGAAGCTGAAATCATCTCCTGGAGATACTAAGAAGTTTCCTCATTGCTTTCCAAAAGCTCACAGCTGATGGCGTCACCTGTGACCCTCCAGTCTGTTTATCATCCAGTGATTTCTCAGTGCTTGTAGGGTACAATCTAAAACTTTAGCATGGCCACAAGGCCTGGCCTGGCCTTTGTCCACCTGCTGTATTATTTCATCTCAGCTTCACAGTTGGCCTTTCATTTTCTGGAAGATGCCACACAGGCTCCTGCCAGCTGCAGCAGTTTGGAGGAGCTTAGGGATGCTCTCTGCCCCGTCTGCACTCCCAAAGTTAAGCCCAGCCCACCTCCCAGTCCTGAAGTTAAACATCACTTCTCCCAAGAGGCCTTGCCTGAGCCTTCAACCCTCACCAGAAGCCAGGCCTCCTTTCCATCCTCATAGCACGGATCACAGTTTGTTATGATTTGTCTGTGCCCATCTGATACCCGGCCCCCAACTCCACAAAGCTGGCACATCACTTGGCCTGTTCACCTCTGGATTCCCAGGCCTTGCACAGGACAGGCGTCTGCAACGTTTGTTCAGGGAATGCTGTTGAGTGTTGGAGCTGGAAGTGTCCATGGAGATAAAGCAGTGTCCCCTACCGCTCCTTCCCGCCTCATTGTCACTGCCGAGGAGGCGGAGCTTCAGAGAGGAGGGGCACTTTGCTTGAGGCTCAGTTCAGGCCTAGGGATCCACATCTCCTATCCGCCCATCCCTCAGCCCCACCCCAAGCCCTAGCTAAATGTTGGCTGATTTTCCCCTGTTGCTTCTTTTTCTTTCTTCTTTCTTTTCTTTTCTTTGTTTCTTCCTTCTTTCCTTCCTTCCTTCTTTCTCTTTCTTTTCTTCTTCCTTCCTTTCTCCCCCCCTCCCATTTTTCACTACTGCAGATTAAACCCAGAGTTTTCCCACTGAGTTATATCCCTAGCCTTTTTATTTTATTTTGAAACTGGGTCTCGCTAAGTTGCCCAGGCTGGGCTTGAGAACTTGCAGTTCTGCCTCAGCTGAGTGCCTGGATTACAGCTACATACCACCATGCCCACCTCCGTTTGTTGATTTTCCAAAGAAGACAGGTCAGGAAGCAAAACAACAAGCACTGGATGACCTCTTATTTTTATTTTGAAAAATTTGGATGAGACGGAGTCCATACTCAGAGAGGGTCTTGTCCCAGGATTGTTGTGGACCCACACCTGGTAGGTGAAGCCTGCGGCCCAGCAGGCAGCGAAGTCTGTTCGGGTTTGTCCTTGGCCTAGCGGCCACTTTCCCCAGAAGCCTGGAACACTGCTGAGTCCTGGTAGTTCTGCGTCATGAACTGGGTACTTGCTTCAGGCTCGTTCAGGTGGAAGCGGTACAAAAATCTGTCCATTTCCCAAGAGCCTGGAAGGACAGACAGGCGGCAGGGAGGCAGTCAGAGAGGACCTGAGAGCTGTAGGGGCCTAACGGCAAGAGGCCGGTTCTGACGACCTTGGTCCCCTCTGGCTGTGAGGGCACAGTGCCTGGACGGCCTCTGGCTGCAGCGGAGCCCCCGAGAAGGGACACCACAGTTGCCTACTTGCCAGGACCATGGGGACTAAGCCCAGCCGGAGTCAAGACCACCTTGTGTATCCTTCCCGGGGCCCTGTACTGAACATGCCGCTATCTTCTTGTCCTATGCAGAACGGAAACGCCAAGCGAGCGGGCAGTTCCCAGCCCCTCCGGGCTGAGCCTGGTAGATGAACCTACGCTATTCTCATGATCTTCTCCCCTGAAGCCTGGCCACCACCCGCAGCAGGGCTCCTTCCCTGAGGTGGAGGTAGACGGGCTACGCTTGGATCCTGGAGGAGGAGTAAGGGTGGGAGACACACGCCCAGGCTGGGACCTGGAGAAGTCCAGCTGGTACTCAGGTTTGGAGGGGGCCCTCCTCAGGGGGCAGCACGACAGGGGACACATCTTCTGGCGAGTGTGAACAGGCCTCATGGCAGGGCAAGGAGGGCACTGCCCTGGGTACTGGCGAGAGGCTGAGGGAAGTGGTCAGAGGCAAATTCCCACACTCCCCTTTCTCAAACTCTGAGCCTCAGGCACCCTAGGTGGGTGGTTGCCAGGAAAACACAGGAAGCCCAGATAAGTCTGGATCTCACATGAACAGCAAATAATTTGTCGTGTGTGTCCATCTACTGCACGGGGCATACTTAACACTGAATTATTTTGCATTGTTTATCCAGAATTTAAATTGAACAGGAATTAAAAGGCATCCTGCAATTTGTGTTTTTTGGTGTTCTCTCATTTTGGGGGCTAAATCTGCAACCCTTCCCTGGAAGGGTGCCCTTTCCTGGAGCACAGCTGGGCAGTGGCTGATGTGCCATGGGCTGTGACAGTCACCTTTCATACCCAGACAGAAGAGGTGAGAGCCGGCTGTCGGCGGTTCTTCGTAGACAGTCCCTGGGAGGCACAGATCACCCATCCACCACCCTCTTCATAACACCAGAGAGCAAGTCCACCCAAGGGCTTTTCTCCATTTCCCTCCACTCCCAGGGCCACTGGTGTTTCAACGATATTCTTGAGGACGGGGCAATTTTAAATTTTACCCCCATCCAATGATAATAATAACAAGGGTGATGATACAAAGAAAGAATAATGCCAGCAACACATAGCTCTGTAGTGCTCCTGTGTGTCACTTGTGTCATGAACGATAATTCACTCAATTCTCACAACAGTCCTACTGCTGAGAACTGTGATTACCCCTGGCTGACAGACTAGAGGCTGGGTCCAGGATGGGGTACAGGGGAGGAAGCTTCCAGGGCAGTTGTCCCCAAACATTTTGGCACCAGGGACCAGTTTCCAGGAAGACACCTGGGGTGACTCACAGGAGCCCACAACCTGGACCCCTCGCATGCACATGTGCTGTTCGCAGTAGGATTCCTACTCCTGTGAGAAGTGAATGCCTGGTGGACAGGAGGTGGTAATCCAGGGACGTGGAGGGGCTTTGCTCACTGGCCCAGCGCTCACTTCCTCCTGTGTGGCTTGCTTCCTGTCAGGCCGTGGAGTGGTACCAAACCAACCTGGGGGTTGGGGGGCCCTGTATCCCTGCCCTCCCCTAGGACAGGGACACAGCAAGTCCTTTCCAGCTTCCCTCCATCCTGTCTGCCTCAGCAATGGAATGCTTGGCCTACCTCAAGGGGTGAAAAGTGAGGGTCTGCAGGGCGTCTTGGGGAAGGGTGGCAAAGGTGCCGAGAACTACCCTGCTGGCTGGGTACTGAATGCACTAGGCATTCCCACGTCGTGTCACGCCAGTGCCCTTTTACAGGCACTGTTTCTGGCTGGAGGCTCTGCACTCTGGGGCTGGGTTGGCTAGAAGGGAATTCTGGTTATCAGGACCCTGGAAAAATGTGTGTGTGCCCATGTGTGCACGCCAGGGAAAAGGCTCAAGCGTGAATTGGTGGGTGGCAGGCACGAGGAGACAGAGGGGCCTCCCCCACTCAATAGGGCAGGAAGGAACCTGGGTGGTAAGGAAGGAATTGAAACCCATCACGAGATCAGGGCAAGCTAGTGAAAGAAATCCCCTCGCTCCCCTCTCTCAGCAGAACTGTCCTCCCTAGGCTCGGACACCACCTCCTGCATGAGCTCAGAGTGTCCTGAGGTCTTATGCTCCTTCCCAGCTCCCCTGCTGACAACTCTGGTCCTTGGGCTGCTCTGGCAGCTGTTCCCCACGCCCAGGCCCTGTGCTGGCCTCCTCCCTTGGCTTGCCAGGACTCCTCACCATCCCCCAATTTCCTGCCTCAGAGGGTGAGAGGAACTGACCCTGAGCAAGTTCTAGAAGGGAGAGGGTTGAGTCAGGCCCGCAGGGGTGTGTGGGGAGAGATGGGCGCTGTGGCTTCCGTGGTCACTGCTCAGAGGAAAGCCCCTTCCTGTATGGCAGGGCTCTGTCCCTGAGTGCCAGGAGGCTGCTACCATGCAGGAAGAGGGCAGGGCTGCTTCTGCGGGGGCTACTGCCCTGGAAGCCAGGCTGGGTTGGGGCTGGCTGGGGTGGTGAGCATGTGGTGTCTGTCTCCCAAGCTGCCCAGAGATGACAGACAATGCAGGGGCCGGGGCTCCTCAGGGCAGACCTGGCACACAGGATGTGTGGGTCCATCCCTGCACAACCCAAGGGGTGACAGTCCCATCTTGCTGAGGCAGCCCCACCTAGAGGCCATCTGTCCCTCACTTGCAGGTCACTGCTGATGTCAGCCAAGAGCTGTGGTTGTTAAAGATGTTGGAGCAGGAGGAGGCCGAGGGGAGAGTTAGAACATCTTACCCAAAGCCTGGCAGGTTTCTAAGCTACTGCTTGTGCCTGAGCTGTTACACACAGGGGACATCCCTGTGGAGGAGAGGGGAGTTTGTTCTCTGGGCTTGAGTCCCAGGGACTGCCACAGCTGGAAGGTTTGCACCTGGCTCCGGGCCAGGTCTTGACAGTTACTTTCTCCACCCCCAGGTCCTGAATCTGTGGAGCTGGCTTTGCATGTTGGGAGTGACTTGTCCTGTGATCCTGACCAGCTCCTCTGAGGCTTTTAGGGCTAAGCCAGCCTCCAAGAGACTGAGAAATGGTACCTTCTCCCACTGTGGCCCCCTACCCTTACAGCACTTGGGAGGAGAGGAGGGGTGGACAGCTTCTGGGCTAGAATATGTTCTAGAATATGTGCTCTGAGCCTCAGACTCTGGAGCAAAGCCCTTCTATGGAACAGCGAAGCTGCCTCCTGTGGCTTCTTCCAAGTGTTTGTGTGGTGGTGGGGGCGCTGGCTATTGCTTTATCCACCCTCACTCCTGTCTTCTATGAGTTTTTATTTTTCTTTTTGTTACTGGGGATCAAACTCGAGACCTAGCGCTTCAGAGGCACGTGCAGTGCCACTGAGCTAAATCCCCAGCCCTGAGTTTCTTTTCTTTTCTTTGTCTCTTCTCACCCTCCCACCCATTTTGAGACTCACTATGTAGTTCAAGCTGGTCTTTTTTTTTTTTTTTTTTTTTT